ATGTACAGATGCAAATGTTTACTCTAATGGTATTAACATCTTCAAGGAGAAATGTACAGATGCAAATGTTTACTCTAATGGTATTAACATCTTCAAGGAGAAATGTACAGATGCAAATGTTTACTCTAATGGTATTAACATCTACAAGGAGAAATGTACAGATGCAAATGTTTACTCTAATGGTATTAACATCTACAAGGAGAAATGTACAGATGCAAATGTTTACTCTAATGATTTTAACATCTTCAAGGAGAAATGTACAGATGCAAATGTTTACTCTAATGGTATTAACATCTTCAAGGAGAAATGTACAGATGCAAATGTTTACTCTAATGATATTAACATCTACAAGGAGAAATGTACAGATGCAAATGTTTACTCTAATGGTATTAACATCTACAAGGAGAAATGTACAGATGCAAATGTTTACTCTGATATCTTTTCAAGGAGTCCAAACTGAATTTGGACTCTCTCAAAATGAGTCCCATGATTCTATCTGTCCACCACCACCACCACTATTCACTATAACTGTCCTTTCAAAAAAGACCAAAACAAACAATTTAAGTCTGGTTCTGCTTCATAGTCCTTAAACCAGATCATTCAAGATGACAGGTGTTTACAATTAATGCATTTCAAGGTAGAAAAAGGCTATCAGTCCTGTCACCTTTTTCTGTTAAAGTTTATTTTATCTTAAAGTGGTTTAAACTTTGGAAGAAAAATAATTTGAATATGATAAATCAAAATCAAACAATAAGATTCAAATATCCTCTGAGCAACATAGAATTAGTCTACTTGATAGATTAGTCTATGAATTTAAGAAACACATAATTGATCCAATTCTTCTTTATTGTGACTTATATCAATATTATTGAGTAGTCTAGTCTATGTCAATACAGAGACAATACATCTTTGAACTTCATCTGTCACTTTTAAGTAATCTAGTCCTCTCTTACCCAAAGTGTAAAAAGTCACAGACATAACATAAGTGTGTGTGTGTGTGTGTGTGTGTTAAGGGCATATCAACACAATCACACACACACACACACACACACACACACACACACACACACATATATATATATATATATATATATATATATATATATATATATATATATATATATATATATATATATATATAATTCCAATAAAGATACAAATAAAGGTAAAGACAATGATAAATCCTTCAAAAAAAAATGATTTAATAAAAAACAAACTTGAATCTTTTAAAAAGTCCAATACTGCTGCTATTTTTCTCTTCCTTGCTGACAAATTTTGCACTTTTCACAACAACTTACTTTCTTTTTTGTAACTATACCCATTTGCAACTCATAAATGGAAACATTCTGTGTTTACAAAGCAAGTATCATGACTTTGATTACACAAACTTCCCATGATGCACACACTTCCCATGATGCACACACTTCCCATGATGCATACACTTCCCATGATGCACACACTTCCCATGATGCACACACTTCCCATGATGCACATTAAGCAATAAATTTGATGTCATTAACATTTTGCATTTGCCAGTAGCAATGTTGTTACCCATAATTTTGATTTACCAACAAAGTCACACTAAGCCAGATCTAAAAAAATGGATCCAAAATGGATTAGGTTTATTCTGAAGGAAACTGAAAATAGTTTTTTTTCATGGTTGCTCTGGAAGACAAATATTGCAAAGGGAGTCACCATGGATGTAATTTTGTGGGCATATGTCTTAATAATGATTCCTATCAAGTCTGATGGACATTAGTGAGTAGTTTGAAAGAAGTTCAAAATAGAAATGCCCACAATGAAATATGACAATACAAATTGGATTCAGGACCATGCCATAACCTTGTTAGGTCTTACAGCCAGGTAAACCAAAAATCAAAGGGACAATGAGTCTAAGATATTGAGATTTAAAAAAATAAATAATAATGATAATGATAAAAATACAAACAATAATAATAATATTAAATAATAATAATAATAATAATAATAATAATAATAATAATAATAATAATAATAATAATAAGAAGAAGAAGAAGAAGAAGAAGAAGAAGAAGAAGAAGAAGAAGAAGAAGAAAAAGAAGAAGAAGAAGAAAAAGAAGAAGAAGAAGAAAAAGAAGAAGATGAAGATAAAAAGAAGAAGATGAAGATGAAACCTTCTTTCATCTTCATCTTCATCTTCTTCTTTTTTTATCTTTTTTCAACCCTTCATTGGAGCAACATTTCTAATGGGTTTTATTATGAGAAGTTGGTGATTGGATTTGTGTAAAATGGAGAACTTTTCTATATTTGGTATGAAATATTAATAATTTAACTACAAAAACGTCTGACAGAACCTCATGAATCTGACACTGATTTTCATTTAATTATTGTAATTTTCAACTGTTATTATGGCAGTACTTATCTTAATTTGAGTACCGCAAACTCTAACACAAGTCAAATAACCTTGGTATGTTATTCAATGAATTTCAACCTCTCCCAAGTTTACACTTGATTTTTAAGCACCTACCCATGGTGGGGTAAGCATTTCCCAAAGGTGGGTCAAACTTTGACAACTTTGTAATAGGATTGGACCTAAAAAGAACATTTATATTAATCAAGAAACTTTGTTTGTGCAGGTGACAATCAGACTGTTCTTCACTCTAACCCTGACCATTCAGGTGCATAAGACATTGTGTAGTGGTTAACACTCTAGTGATTTGTTGTCCTGAACTGGAGCCTTCAAGTGCCACTTGACCACTGGTCACTTTGATGACATCATGTCTGGCATAAAATCAGGTGAGAAATTTAGATATCACAGGAAAATTAACTTATCAAGGTGTTTAATGAAACATCACTCTGGTCCAAGTGTTATTAGCTGGGAATATCCCATCATGGCTATATTTCAACCCTAAGACAGGGCCTCATTTAACACATAATAATAAAACTTTTCTTTATCTCTAAATAATGCAAATAACCATTGAAGATTCTTTACCTAACACAAATAATTGGCTGATGATGATATAAAACCAATTTGAATATAAAAACACACAATGAATGCAATTACATCTTGGGGTGGTCCTTCTAAAAACCAATGCCATTTTAAGATTTCATCAGCGTTAAGCAGTGCCTTCTGGCAAAACTCAAATAGGCTGACAACAGCTCGTTTTAAAATTTGTCAATGACAATCATGAAGCAATCCCAGTAACATCTGCAATGGTCATTTGGTTCATGTGTGTCTTCATATAAACTCTGAATGTGATGTTCTGTGTTCTAGATGTACAATACCCACTACTAGTTATAGATGTACAGTACCAATTTACAAGTTCAAAATGTACAGTACCCATTACAAGTTCTAGATGTAAGTACCAATTACAAGTTCTAAATGAACAGTACCCATTACAAGTTCTAGATGTAAGTACCAATTACAATATCTAAATGTACAGTACCCATTACAAGTTCAAAATGTACAGTACCCATTACAAGTTCTAGATGTAAGTACCAATTACAAGTTCTAGATGTACAATACCCATTACCAGTTCTAAATGTACAGTACTTATTACAAGTTCTAGATGTACAGCACCCATTACATGTTCTAGATGTACAGTACCAATTACAAGTTCTAGATGTATAATACCCATTACAAGTTCTAGATGTACAGTACCCATTACAAGTTCTAAATGTACAGTATTTATTACAAGTTCTAGATGTACAGCACCCATTACATTTTCTAGATGTATAGTACCAATTACAAGTTTTAGATGTATAATACCCATTACAAGTTCTAGATGTACAGTACCCATTACAAGTTCTAAATGTACAGTACTTATTACAAGTTCTAGATGTACAGCACCCATTACATGTTCTAGATGTATAGTACCAATTACAAGTTCTAGATGTATAATACCCATTACGAGTTCTAGATGTACAGTACCAATTACAAGTTCTAGCTGTACAGTAGCCATTATAAGTTATATATATATATATATATATATATATATATATATATATATATATATATATATATATATATATATATATATATATATATATATATATATATACAGTACCCATTACAGGTTTTAGATGTACAGTACCATTACAAGTTCTAAATGTACAGTACTTATTACAAGTTCTAGATGTACAGCACCCATTACATGTTCTAGATGTACAGCACCCATTACATGTTCTAGATGTACAGTACCCATTACAAGTTCAAGATGTAAATACTCATTACAAGTTCTAGCTGTACAGTACCCATTATAAGTTATATATATACAGTACCCATTACAGGTTTTAGATGTACAGTACCATTACAAGTTCTAAATGTACAGTACTTATTACAAGTTCTAGATGTACAGGACCCATTACATGTTCTAGATGTACAGCACCCATTACATGTTCTAGATGTACAGTACCCATTACAAGTTCAAGATGTAAATACTCATTACAAGTTCTAGCTGTACAGTACCCATTATAAGTTTTATATATATATATATATATATATATATATATATATATATATATATATATATATATATATATATATATACAGTACCCATTACAGGTTTTAGATGTACAGTACCATTTACAAGTTCTAGATGTACAGTACCATTTAAAAGTTCTAGATGTACAGTACCAATTACAAGTTCTAGATGTACAGTACCCATTATAAGTCAGAGATATACAGTACCCATTAAAAGTTTTAGATGTACAGAACCATTTACAAGTTCTAGACGTACAGTACCATTTACAAATTCTAGATGTATAGTACTTATTACAAGTATAGATGTATGGTATCCATTACAAGTTTTAGATGTATAGTAGTAGTTATTACAAGTTCTAAATGTATAGTAGTACTTATTACAAGTTCTAGATGTATAGTAGTACTTATTACAAGTTCTAGAAGTATAGTAGTACTTATTACAAGTTCTAGATGTATGGTAACCATTACAAGTTATAGATGTATGGTATCCATTACAAGTTATAGATGTACAGTATGTATTACAAGTTCTAGATGAACCGCTCTGGTGGCCTAGTGGTTAGAGCATCTGCATCAGATGCGGGAGGTCATGGGTTCCATCCCCAGTCAAGTCATTCCAAAGACTTGCAAAATGTTACTAACAGCTGCCATGCTTAATGCTCGGCATTGAGGTCTAGCACTGAGGCATCATGCCGCAGACATGTTGCATGATGTACCACCCAGTCACATTATCCTGACACCAGGCTGACCAGTCCTAACACTAACCTCTTAATGCTGAGCAAGCAAGGCAGCTGGTTAGTACCATTTTTGTAAGTCTTTGGTATGACTCGGCCAGGGATTGAACTCATGACCTTCCACATCTGAGGTGGATGCTCTAACCACTAGGCTGCCAGAGCAGTCAGCATAACACAGTAACCAACATAGGTTGGACTAAGTAAGATTTGAATCTGGCTTTGACCCTGAGAATACAACAGTGACCAACCAAGCCTGTTCTATGCAAAATTTGAATCTGTCCTTGACTTTGGGCACACCACATTGATCAACTCAGCCTGGTCTAAACAGAAGTTTAATATACATCCTTCTAGGTCAGGAATCTAACATGTTCACTACTTATCTCTGGTAGTTCTAACTTATGGATCTACAGATAGACAAGAGTAAGACTGTATGCAATACCTTTGGATAGACATTTAGACAAGAGCAAGACTGTATGCAAACTTTTGGATAGACATTTAGAGAAGAGTAAGACTGTATGTAATACATTTGGATAGACATTTAGACAAGAGTAAGACTGTATGCAATACATTTGAATAGACATTTAGACAAGAGTAAGACTGTATGCAATACATTTGAATAGACATTTAGACAAGAGTAAGACTGTATGCAATACCTTTGGATAGACATTTAGACAAGAGTAAGACTGTATGCAATACATTTGAATAGACATTTAGACAAGAGTAAGACTGTATGCAATACCTTTGGATAGACATTTAGACAAGAGTAAGACTGTATGCAATACATTTGGATAGACATTTAGACAAGAGTAAGACTGTATGTAATACCTTTGGATAGACATTTAGACAAGAGTAAGACTGTATGCAATACATTTGGATAGACATTTAGACAAGAGTAAGACTGTATGCAATAGCCCTCAATAGACAGACAAGAGTAAGACTGTATGCCTTACTACTGGATAGACAGATAAATAAGAGTAAGACTGTATGCAACACCTTTTAATAGACAGACAAGAGTAAGAATATGTCCTACCTTGGGATGAAAGACAGAAAGACAAAAGTAAGAATATGTCCTTCCTTGTGATGAAAGACAGATAGACAAATGTAAGACTATGTCCTACCTTGGGATGAAGGACAGAAAGACAAAAGTAAGACTATGTCCTACCTTGGGATGAAAGACAGATAGACAAGAGTAATACTATGTCCTACCTTGGGATGAAAGACAGATAGACAAGAGTAAGACTATGTCCTACCTTGGGATGAAGGACAGAAAGACAAGAGTAAGACTATGTCCTACCTTGAGATGAAGGACAGAAAGACAAAAGTAAGACTATGTCCTACCTTGGGATGAAAGACAGATAGACAAAAGTAAGACTATGTCCACCCTTGTGATGAAAGACCAATAGACAAGAGTAAGACTATGTCCTTCCTTGTGATGAAAGACAGATAGACAAAAGTAAGACTATGTCCTACCTTGGGATGAAAGACAGATAGACAAAAGTAAGACTATGTCCACCCTTGTGATGAAAGACCGATAGACAAGAGTAAGACTATGTCCTTCCTTGGGATGAAAGACAGATAGACAAGAGTAATACTATGTCCTACCTTGGGATGAAAGACAGATAGACAAGAGTAAGACTATGTCCTACCTTGGGATGAAGGACAGAAAGACAAGAGTAAGACTATGTCCTACCTTGAGATGAAGGACAGAAAGACAAAAGTAAGACTATGTCCTTCCTTGTGATGAAAGACAGATAGACAAGAGTAAGACTATGTCCTACCTTGGGATGAAAGACAGATAGACAAGAGTAAGACTATGTCCTACCTTGGGATGAAAGACAGATAGACAAAAGTAAGACTATGTCCTTCCTTGTGATGAAAGACAGATAGACAAAAGTAAGACTATGTCCTACCTTGGGATGAAAGACAGATAGACAAAAGTAAGACTATGTCCACCCTTGTGATGAAAGACCGATAGACAAGAGTAAGACTATGTCCTTCCTTGTGATGAAAGACAGATAGACAAAAGTAAGACTATGTCCTACCTTGGGATGAAAGACAGATAGACAAAAGTAAGACTATGTCCACCCTTGTGATGAAAGACCGATAGACAAGAGTAAGACTATGTCCTACCTTGGGATGAAAGACAGATAGACAAGAGTAATACTATGTCCTACCTTGGGATGAAAGACAGATAGACAAGAGTAAGACTATGTCCTACCTTGGGATGAAGGACAGAAAGACAAGAGTAAGACTATGTCCTACCTTGAAATGAAGGACAGAAAGACAAAAGTAAGACTATGTCCTTCCTTGTGATGAAAGACAGATAGACAAGAGTAAGACTATGTCCTACCTTGGGATGAAAGACAGATAGACAAGAGTAAGACTATGTCCTACCTTGGGATGAAAGACAGATAGACAAAAGTAAGACTATGTCCTTCCTTGTGATGAAAGACAGATAGACAAAAGTAAGACTATGTCCTACCTTGGGATGAAAGACAGATAGACAAAAGTAAGACTATGTCCTTCCTTGTGATGAAAGACAGATAGACAAGAGTAAGACTATGTCCTACCTTGGGATGAAAGACAGATAGACAAAAGTAAGACTGTGTCCTTCCTTGTGATGAAAGACAGATAGACAAGAGTAAGACTATGTCCTACCTTGGGATGAAAGACAGATAGACAAGAGTAAGACTATGTCCTACCTTGGGATGAAAGACAGATAGACAAAAGTAAGACTATGTCCTTCCTTGTGATGAAAGACAGATAGACAAAAGTAAGACTATGTCCTACCTTGGGATGAAAGACAGATAGACAAAAGTAAGACTATGTCCTTCCTTGTGATGAAAGACAGATAGACAAGAGTAAGACTATGTCCTACCTTGGGATGAAAGACAGATAGACAAAAGTAAGACTGTGTCCTTCCTTGTGATGAAAGACAGATAGACAAGAGTAAGACTATGTCCTACCTTGGGATGAAAGACAGATAGACAAAAGTAAGACTATGTCCTACCTTGGGATGAAAGACAGATAGACAAAAGTAAGACTATGTCCACCCTTGTGATGAAAGACAGATAGATAAGAGTAAGACTATGTCCTACCTTGGGATGAAAGACAGATAGATCAGAGAAAGACTATGTCCTACCTTGGTATGAAAGACAGATAGACAAAAGTAAAACTATTCTACTTTGGGATGAAAGACAGATAGACAAGAATAAGACTGTATGCTCACCTTGGGATGAAGGACAGATAGACAAAAGTAAGACTATATCCTACCTTGGGATAAAAGAGAGATAGACAAGAGTAAGACTGTATTCCTTCCCTTGGGAAAAAGGACAGATAAACAAGAGTAAGACTACATGCTCTACATTGGAATGTATATTATTTGAGCAACCTAAGGATTAGATTATATGTATTGAATAAAGGTATATTAATGTAAATTTAACATTAGAAGACAGTGTCAGATTAAATAGGGAAGACTGTAGATTAAATAGGGAAGACTGTAGATTAAATAGGGAAGACTGTAGATTAAATAGGGAAGACTGTAGATTAAATAGGGAAGACTGTAGATTAAATAGGAAAGATTAGAGTCATAGAAAAGACTGCAGATTTATAGTAAAAACTGTAGATTTATAGCTAAGACTGTAGCAAAAAGATTTTGGTAAATGGACTATCTTTTGAGAATTTTCTTAAGTAACACATTACACTATAAGAATTACAGTATGATTTTTTTTAAAATTAAACTATTTCAAAATATTAAAAGATGGTGTGTAAACTAGACATAACTTGTTTCAAATATTAGCTTCTCTAAGCCCTTGCTATATTTTGCACATCAAAAAATTTGTGGTGGAATGTAGGGTATAATTCTACAGATCTGTATTACCATCATCACCTGACCTATGTTTGAAAGACTGACACCTTTCTTAATGTTAAGTAAATAGTGTATACTATCAAAAATTAGATAACTTTGATGTTTTCTCTCAATTTATCATCCAGCTTAACAAGCCAGCACAATTTTAGCCCTCTCAAGCACACTCAAATATCAATACATTCCTGTGATGAGAGTACTTTCACCTTACTGGCGAACTTTGTATGTAATCATCTATCTGCCCTGTGGTTTTTAAGTGTGTACAGATACAAATCAAAATAAATCACTGAATGTAAGTTTAATGTTTTTGGAGGATTTACTGGGTTTAACTGAGCTGTACAAAGACAAACATTGCTTGTCTTCTTGTGATTTTGCCACAAATGTCTATTTCTAAAAGACTAAAATACTTCAGAATGAACACAGAAGGATTCCCCAGAAACATCAGAATGAACACAGAAAGGTTCTGTTGTAGCTGTGATGTGACACTGTTGTAGTTGTCATGTGTTACTGTTGGGGGTGGGTGGCAGTTACTTTGGGGAGTTAGCTGGTAGAGCAAAGCAAACAAAACAAATGTCTAGGCTACATATTTCTTTATTGGTTACTTTCCACTGTCTCCAAAAAATTCCCACCACTCATTCAAATTCAAAATCTCAGTATATATATATTCTTTCTTAGTCCTATTCTTAGTCCTACAGACTTCACAGGAGACTACTGATATCATATATCTATAACTGGCTTGATTGTTTCTAGTACACAGAATCTGTGTTTCCTACATTAAACAGTTGATATCTCACTAATGAGTTGTCCAGAAGTTGATTTGAAAATGTATAAATGATTATAACATATATCTGATCAGATTCACACTCTCTTTCAACCTCTCCTTCAAAATATAAATCTTAAATAAATGAAGTTTATAGGTAAGGGTTGGCAAAGATTGTCTGAATTCAAGTATAAAATATATATTTCTTTCAAAACAATATACAAATTACTTTTGCCAATTAGAGAACCTTAATCTACTATCTTGTCTCTAATATCATCAACATTTTCAAAATCCAAAACCAATTATAAGTCTTGTAAATAATCATTTAATTAATTTGTAGAAACAAAAAGTATGTTGTTCTCACTAACTACACCATGTAGCTAGAGACCCAGTTAAACCAAATGAATTATGTCCCTAAGGCCATGGGGTGAGCTTGCTGTAAAGATTCTACTTGTATTGTTTTTATACTGCAGAAGCAGAATATTTCTTGAAAAGTGGATTCTAACTAATATGGCTATTGTACAAGACCAGAAAATGGAAA